GCCCTGGCCTGCCCTCACCATCTTAGTTCTGTTGGGCCCCCCTGTGACATCGAAGGAGAGCAGCCCATGGAAAAGCACTGGGATGCTGGTTGATAGCCGGGTAAACATGAGCCAGAGTGTGCCCAGGTGGCCAAGAGGCACCTGGTTTGTATCAGCAATAGTGTGGCCAGCAGGACCAGGGCAGTGATTGTGAGCACTTGGCACTGGTGAGGCCACACCTTGGTGCTGTGTCCAGTTCTGTGTCCCTCGCTACAAGAAGGACCTCGAACTGCTGGAGTAGTCCAGAGAAGGGCAATGAAGCTGTGAAGGGTCTTGAGCACAGCTGAGGGAGCTGAAGGTGTTTAGCTTGGAAAGGAGGGGGTCTCAGGGGAGGCTTTTTGGCTCTCTACAACTCCCTGGAAGGAGGTTGTAGCCAGGTGGGGGTCAGCCTTTCCTTCCAGGCAGGTAATGACTGAACAAGAGGACATAGCTTCCTTCAAGCTGCTCCAGGGGAGTTTTAGGTTGGACATTAGGAGGCATTTCTTCACAGAAAGGGAGATTGGACATTGGAATGGGCTGCCCAGGGAAGTGGTAGTGTAACCATCCCTGGGGTGTTTAAGGACAGACTGGATGTGGCACTTAGTGCCATGGTCTAATTAACATGGTGTTGTTCAGTCATAGGTTGGACTTGCTGATCTCAGAAGTCTTTCCCAACCTAATTATTTCTGTGATTTTGTTCAGAGAGCTGCCCAGGAGCACAGGGGTAGCAGAGCAGGCCGCCACAGTGCTGAGACCCACTGGCAGTGGGACCAAGGAAGCCTTTGGGGAGCCTTGGGCACGTTCTGGCATTGCCCGTTTGAACACAAGGCTTTGGGTCAGGGTGGCACCTGGGGATAATGACAGATCAGGGATGAGAGCAAAAGGGGTGAGCAGGAATGGATTGTAGTGACAAAAGGATGAAAGTATTGCAAAAAGCTGGCAAAAAGGCTTGGATTCAAAGGCAGGCCCAATGTAATGAGGCTGTTGTGGTTTATTCCACAAAAAAAAAAAAAAAGAGGGTTTCTAAACATTGGCTTTTATTACTCCAAGTTACTGCTATTTTTTTCCCTAATGCTAATCTTTATTAAAAATGTAGTTAAGCAAATTTCTTTGTGGAGAGAGGAAGGGAAAAGGAAACAGGAGGTTTTGCTTCCTTCACTTGCTGGAGTATGTTATGTTAGCACAGTGATGAAAGTGACACAAGAATTTGGGTGGAGCAGGATAAAGTAGAACACTTCAGACGAAGATTATAACCTGACTGTATGGGAAAATATAAATGGGACATCCTTGAGAGAGAGACATGTTTACTCTTGGCAGAAGTATGTCTCCACAATTCTGAATGTTCAAAATAAATACTCAGTGACCATTAAATGAAAGTAATAAAAATGGAGGAACAGGACAAAGTTTTGATTTTGTTTATCAGTTTTTGTTAACCAAGGCAATATTTTCAGGCACAACTTGTCACTTCACAATAAAAATAAGGAAATATGTGAGGAAAATACAGTTTTAATGCACTTGAAATTAAAATATTGCCATCCCTCTTCCCTAACTATAAATTTTAGAAGGAAAAAGGAAAAAACCAAACATGATTATGGAAGACTTAAGAGATCTTCAAAAATTATGTGTATTGTGCACAAGAACTCTGAATATGTTTAATTAAATTACTGGAAAATGTAATTTAGTGAGTAGGCTAGAATGCAATCAGGAACATGTCAGCATAAACTCCTGTAAAAGGAGAGGATATGTATCTGGTATTTCAGAAGCACAGAAGTATCTGTGTGGCATAAACCTGACATAGAGTCTCCCAAGTCCTTTTTTGATCCTAATATGCAAGAAAGCAGGCATGAAGCATGCAAAAAGCTCCAACAATGTCTTTGAATTTCCTAATTTCAGTCGTCTCCCTAATTGCACTTAATATTTATGCTGTGTTCACATTGCTATTATGAAATTGGTTTCAATAAACAATAAAAACTCATGTGGATCTTTTTTAAATTCATCCTCTGTGGCTTTGTGTAGCTCACCCTTGTGCTAAACAGCAAAAGCATATAATTCATCACAGCAACACTGGCATAGAATCATTGATGTCCTTCAAAAAGATCCAGGGAATGACAAAGACAGAATAATTTTATAGCTTGCAACTGGAGGAAATATATTGCTTGCATCTGGCAGCAAGCCAGGCCAGAATCTGAGATGCTGTTGCTGCTGTAAATAGGATGAAAGGGATTCATAATCCATCTCCATGCCCACTGTAGCTAGGCAAATTGTAAGCAGAAAAAGCAATTAAACAAACAAACATAAGAAAGCATTAAAATATGTGGGAGAGACCTTTTTTGTTGTATTGATGATTTATAGACTAATTGCCATGGCTAACCATTTGAGGACTGGTTAGTGAATAACTAATCATTACTTACTGAATATGGGTAACACAGGTATTGAGTTTAAGCAGTGTGTATGTGTAATCCAAGTATTTAATACAGGTATTGAGTCATAATGAAAACAGGCCTCTTGTTCACAACAAATGACATCAGATTTCTCCATCAAATGCTCCATCCAAAATAATGCCAACAGACTTGAATTAGCTGCTGAGCTGGAATAAATTCAGATATTGTGAAATGTTGGCATAGGGATTAATTGATAGAAAACTGCTAGTCTAAAAACTACAAATAATGTATTTTAGATATAGTCCTAACAACCTAACAGTCAATAGACAGCAAATATTTGATGGTGCTGTATTTCACATTCCCTTAGACAAGACAAATAGATGAATCACCTGAGCAAGACATAAAGTTTTGCAATTTTCTTAAGTCTGTGTAAAGCAAGTTTGATGTCTTAACTGCTTGCTTAGTTGGGAAGGTCATTTAAACAGAGTATTAAATTCAAGAGCTGGAGGGGGAAGTGGAAGGCTCAGAAGGAACAGCCCTAGTGTCAGAGCTGAACTGAGGGGAGGGATGCTCTAGAAAGGGGGGTGGAAACCCTTAAACACTAAATCAGTTCCTAATGTCATAGTTTGCTACTTCCAGAGGTTCCAAAATGGGATAAAGCTACCAGGCTTATTCAGATGAGTGGAACCTGTGCTTATTTAATTGTTGTACATAAGTATTGATGAGAAATCCCTGATGCATGGAAAAAAATGCTATTGATTTCTTCTGCACCGTAGAAATAGCTGTGGCGAACACGACTGGAACTGTTACAATGACAACACCTAATGTGGTGGATAAAACAGATTCCCTGAATAGACACAACAAATATGATGACCAAATCTGAAAAGAGAATACCTGTCTAGTATTGCTTTCAGTACCACAATTTGTATAAAACGTGGGGACATAAAAAAATGCATGGTCATACAAATGGTGGAATCAAAATGATGTGTTGCTTGCTTAACCAGAGTACATGGTGTGAAAATTCATGTGAGATTCAGACTTAGACATTCAGTTTCTGTATAAGATCAAAGGCTGGTTAAAACTATCAGAAAAGGCAGAAAGTACCAAAGAAGACGCCTTTTGACTCCTGCCACCGTCATGTTTTCTCAGGTTTTTCCTCAGAATAGGACATATGATACTGCCTTGTATATGCATGAACACTACTATACATCTACAAGCATATACAACAAAGGTAGTACGATGTACACACATTAGCAAAACATTTTTGTTCAGATTTGAGGAGTTTGTACTATAGAGGTTTTGGCTCAAAGCAGATCTGGGTAGCCAGGAGTGGCTGATCAGTGTCCAGTAGCAAGGGAGATACTACGGAAGAAAACCGCAGCATCATTTAGATTAGAACAGACTTTTAAGATCACTACGTCCACCAGAATTCAGTACTGGCCCAGATGCACACTGGCATGTGTGGCTTCACAGCCGCAGTGTGACAATGGGGGCAGCTGCCAAGAGGAGCAGCAGGTAACGCTGCCCCAGTGCACCCTCGGCGAGCGTGCACGCAGACAGGAGGCTGTGCTGAACACGGAGAGAGGCCCACGGCAGAAACGCGAGTATTCGGAGAGCGGCTTCTCAGTGGGCATCCAGAGGCCAGTCCCTGGTGGCATGGCCTTTGTCCAGACCCTTTGTGCCGGTGCTGGGGCAGCGGCACAGGCCTGGCAGGCTACCAGCCTCTGGGCCCCCTCTGTCCTGCCTTGCGATCCCTGGGGCTCCTGTCCCCACTTGCCCTATCAGTAGCTCCCTCCCATCCGCACTGAACCCCTGCTCACTGCTCTTGGCCATGGTTGCCATTACATTCCTTCTCTTGCTCGTGCAAGGCCTCACCCAGTACCCGCAGCAGGCCGGGGATGGGCTGGATGAGGCCACCCTGGAGCGCATGCAGCAGCGTGCTGAGTATCTGGAGCAGCAGATGACTCAGCTGATTCAGGAGCTGGAGCAGATGAAGCCGGAGCAGAGTGGCGGGGCCTGGGGAGCCCTGCCTGGGTGGCAGTTCTGGGCTCTGAGCGGAATCCTCATGCTTCTCTTGGTGCTGTGGTTTGGACATGGGAAAAGTGATCCAGACCACCGTGGAGAGAAGATGTTCAGCAGCAACTTGGTGGAGGAGGAAGAAAGATGGAACGTTGTTGGAAATGTGGAAGAGGGCAATGTCCATGACAAGCAGGAGATGGCAAACGGAGAAGACGACGATGGTATCAATGTGCAAAGGAAGCTTGAAGCCTTTTAGAGGAGCGCATACAGGAGTTGCCTGTTGTGGATCTGGACAAAGGATTCTCCCTGATCGCGGACCTGGTGGACAAACTCATCCACGTCTTTGGAGAAGGCTTGTCCAACAGTTTCTACCCGGTGCCACAACCAGCCATGGGAGTGGGCAGCGCCTTTGAAGGCTGCAGTCTCCATGCACAAGATGTTGTGTACCGTTTGCTTGTTCCCCTGAGTCCCCCTTCAGGACATGCCTTTCACCTGGAGCTGGACACTGCAGGAGTGGTCCAGAGGCACTTCTGTGTCCGTGTGGAGCTGGTGTGCACCTGCAGGAGGGAGAGGCTGGGGGAGGACATGCTGTGTTTCCTCCACCACCCTGAGAAGGAGCTGAGAAGGAAACAGGACCCCAGCCTCCTGCACACCCTGTGCACCGGCTGCAATCTAGATGTGGAGAAAACTGTCCACTGGTTCTATGGATTTGTGAGAGTCGCCTGGCTGCTGTTGCCTGAATCGCGCCACTGGCGTTTAAGGTTGCAGCCTTCCAGCCGCTCCTGCAAATTTCAGCTGAGCAAAGACAAGGAAAGCTTCACGGTTGAGATGTTCTTTGCCGTGC